TCTGTTTCTCCCAGTAGAGTGGAAGCTTCCTGAGAACCAGACGCATGACTCCTTCATCTCATCCCAGTATCTCTGCTTCCTAGCAGGGTACCTGGTACACAGTATACAGTAACATAATCTTAATGAGCCTAAGAATGTAGGGTCTCCAGGGATTGATTGATTCATTCATTCATTCATTCAACAAGCATTTACTGAGAGGCTATTCTATGCCAAACCTAGCAGCAGGCACACAGGATGGACCACTCAATTGTCAAGTCTCAAAAAATTCATATCTCAGGAAACAAAATAATTTCAACAATGCGTAATGACTTTGAAAGACCTCACCTGTAATATATGCTGGACCAGAAGCCTTATTTGATTGAAAATATTTTTTTAACTTTGCCACTGGATATGTGTCCATTCTGTTTCATTATCCCTCAGTCAATGATGACCACTCATATGACCTACCTTAATTGTCATTTTAAATGAGATTTTAAATTTTATTCAGGAAAAAATGTACCTAGTATTCTCTCTTTTAAAAATCTGTGTGTAGCTATCCTATTACATAAATCCCAGTCATGATTTTATATTTTTGTTTGACTCTTCTTGATCAGGCTTGCACACAATCCAAAAATTTTATTGCTTCTTGGAAATTTTAAAATTTTCTTTTCTTGTGCTATTTTTAGGCTGATTTTGCTAACCCTTAAATAACTTCTCCAGCTGAATATTTTCCTTTAATTCTTGATTATTGAATACGAATGCTGGGGTGTTGTTGCCTGGTATAGTTCTGACCATTGCCTGTGAGATTTGATATGTACTAAGTCCATTATCTTCTAAAGAATTAATACTAGTTTTTAAGTCATTTGATTAATTGAGGAAGGGTTTTCCTTTTCCCCACAGTTCCCAAGTGGTTTTAATTTAAATCTATTCTTTTAATTTCTACAAGTTATTGTACTCTGGTTAGAGAATATGAGCAGTTTAATTTCTACTCATTAGAATTTATGGAGAATTTCTTTATGGCTAAGAATACGTTAAATTTTAGTACATCTCTATGGATATTAGAAAGAATTTTTTCCTTGTTATGTAAACTAATGCTAAATATTCATATATTCAATCTAATAAATTTTAAGATAAAATTCCACTTATAGATTTTTGTCTTCATGATCAAGAATGAAAGTATTTTGTTTCATCTCCCATATAATTGTGTTTAAAATTTCTTGGCTTACTTTTAAACATTTTTTCTTTATATCATTTGATAATATATATGAAATATAATGAATCAAAACTATTATAGCATTATTTGGAATAACACATTTTAGCAGCATAATTTACCCTTGATCCTAGCTACTGTATTGTACTTTAAATTAAACTTTGGGTGATATTAATTCTCCACCTCTGCTTTCTATGTGTTTGCATATGCCTGGAGTATCTTTTCTAATGCTTTGACTTTTGATGTTTGTCATTGGACATTTAGATATAACTCTTGTAAGCTGCACAAAGCTGGGTAATTCTTTAACTCAATTTATCTTCTAATAAAAGGATTTAAACCACTGGCATTTACTGTAATAACTGATACAACTACTCTCATATTCTTTGAGTGCTTTATTTCTGTTTCTTCTGGAGAAGCTAGAGAATGACAGAGTACATGAAAATTTCAGAGTTGTACCGAATGCTTAGCTTACACGGTGACAAATCTGCTACCGTTAAAATTTCTCATCCTTTAGTCTTTGGATTAGACAAAGTTTTGGTCTCCTCTGTATTTACATGGCCCTTGAGCTTACTTTATCAGTTGAACGGGACCACCCATTAATAAGTGAAGCTCATTTAATATCTTATGGTGCTTTTAACTTTCCCCTGAAGATAGATGAAAACATAAATAATTTTGGAATTAAACTGATCTATTAGCGTTAAGCAATAGAAGTGATTGAAACCACATAATTGCTATCGAAGTATCTCATAAAATCAGAATGCTTCCATTTACAAGGGTATAACAACTCTCAGTAGAAGCCAGAAACTCATGAAGAAAAGATAAAGACCTTCTAGAATAAACATACCCAAGTTCATGGAGAAAGCTGCCACCTCTGATGGAACTTCTTGATAAAGTTTTCTCTAACACCATCATCTGACTGATGTGAGAGGTTGGTACGTAGAGGAAGCCTGCATCAGGAACATATCCTAAAATATTGCACTGGATAAATGTGACCTAAATAAGTCCACATATAAACATGTACACATTTGAGACAATCTGGACAAATTTACTTTCTTTTCTTCTCATTCAGATTCAAGTTTGATTGATGCAATCAATCTGTAATTGATTCTTGGCATAAAATAATTTTTACATTATTTATTTCTCTATTTTCTCATGTACATTATAGCATAACCATAGTTAAAAAAAAACAAGTATATATACTTAACTCTGTATTTCACAGTTTTAGTTGTTTTCTTCTAATTCTGTAATACCATGATTTCCCATTCATGGGTTTTGGAGGTTTTTTCTATGTTGAATCTTCTCTATCAGGTTACTTCTATGAGAATATTTCCTTTTAAATGAATGTTGACTTTCTGAGCATCTGTCTTTCTGAAAATGGTTTTCTTTTGCTCTTGAACAATCACAGCCATTTTATATAAGTAAAAAAAAATTTTTTTAATCTCAGTATTTTTTCCTCAAAACTCTGTAACCATAGTCTAAAGTATTTAGAGTCTCCCCACCAGAAGATCTGAGATCATCTGGTGTTACTATCTTTCTAAAAAAACTATTTTTTTTCATACAAAAATGCTTGTAGCAAAGTTTATTTTAACTTTCTCATTCAAAATAATTTCTTGGGCTATATCTCAGCAATGCTGTCTTTTCATTTTTTTTTGATAATACTAGCACGGTGAGTTGGTCCAACTAACAAAGCCATTTTCTCAGACCTAAAAAGGTTTTGTTTTTTTTTAATTCCTTTACTTTGAATCTCCTCTGTCTCCCCTTTCCTTCTTCCCAGGATTCCCCTTGGATCTGTCCTCTTTTATCTCCTCACTATTCTTTAAAATGTACTGTTCCTTTGAATTCCAAATGAATTTCTTGGGCTTTTCTTCTCTTTCAGTATTCAGCTTTCTAGAGTCATGTTAGCCAATACAGCAGTCACTAGCCACAAGAGGCTATTTAAATTTAAACTTAAATTAAATCAACTAAATTAAAAGTTTAGTTGTTCTGCCACACTTTCAAGTGCCCAACAGCTACATGGGGCTGGTAGCTGTCAACTGATAGTGCAGATGGAGAACAGCATTAGCAAACTACAGTCTATGTGTCATATCTAGCCCATGGCTCTTTTTAAAATTAGGTTTTCTCTTTATTCGCTTATTTTAATTGTCGCAAAATACCCAGAACGTAACCGTTGCCATTAAATCCTTTTAAGGTGCCCAACTCAGTGGCATGTGGTACACTGTCAATTTTGTATAACCATCACCACTATCTAGCTCCCGAATGAAAGAATCTGTATTTATTAATCAATCATTCTCCACCTCCTCCAGTCCCCGGAAATCACTAACCTACTTTGTGTCTCTATGATTTAGCTAGTCACATAAATGAAAACCAGCCTTCTGTAGAATCTGACTTCTTTCACTTAGCATAATGGCTTCATGGTTCATCCGTGTTGTAGCACAGATCCTTTCATTCCTTTCTATGACTGAATAATATGCCGTTACATGGACATAACGCTTTTTGTTTATTCATTCACTTGTTGGTGGACACTCATTTGGTTGTCTTTACCTTTTAGTTATTGTGAATAGTGCTGCTACGAACATCCATGTGCAAGTTTTTGTTTGAATTCCTGTTTTCAATTTGGGGGGTATGTAACTAGGAGTGGAATTGCCAGGTAATATTATAATTCTATGTTTAAATTCTTGAGGAATGGCCAAACTCTTCCACAGAAGTCAGACCATTTTACATTCCTACCAGCAGTGTATGAGAATTCCAGTTTCTCCACATTCCCACCAACACTTGTTATTTTATTTTATTTTTTTATTATAGCCTTTCTAGTGGATGTCAAGAGATATCCATGGACTGATTTTGTACATCCCATTGGCTGCAATGTTTTTCATTCTTTCAGGTATGTTTTTAAAAAATGAAGACTATGCAACAGACTATATGTGACCCTCGAAGACCAAAATATTTACCATCTGAACCTTTACATAAACAAGTTTGCTGTTGGGAGAGGGTATAGCTCAAGTGGTAGAGCGCATGCTTAGCATGCACGAGATCCTGGGTTCAATCCCCTGTACCTCCTCTAAAAATAAATAAATCTAATTACCTCCCCACCCCGCCAAAAACGTTTGCTGACCCTTGATATAGAACATTATCTCCATTACAGAAATATCTATTGGATAATGCTGAGTATCTCATGGGCTAGTTAGTGACTCGTTGTCATTTTAAATTCAGCAATCTTATGTTTCATCTGTATCCATTCTTTACTAGTCTTAAACTTTTTCCTGCTTCCTCACACTTTTCAGATTTAATATCCTCTGGAATATTGTTGAAGATGCAAAGTCTAGCTTTTCTCTTCTTAGAATAGCTATTTAACATGGAGATGTTTGTGTTGAGTCTTCAAATAGGCTCCCTTCTTTTGACATTCTCTATCCTCTCATACGCTTGAAGAATTTTCTCTCCACTCACCCTGAGAACCAGGGGCTGAGATAGATTTGGCAGATGGTGTAGATTCCTATCTGGCTCCTCAAATAAAGAACAGCTTAGACTTATTTTTCTTTCACATTGCCAGTTCAGAAATCCAGTAGCATGGTACAAGTGGAAATGGGGCCCAAGTCAGACAAGTTTCATCATTTCCCCATTAGGCTGAACAGTTCCCCTCCTTTATTTGGAAATGGCCAAAAGTTAATTGCACAATACCCACCCTCTTTGACAGGCACAGTTATGCAATTGGGAGTGAGCGCTGGCGGTGCCAGCGTTCTTGGTCCAGCCTCCTTGCCAAGAATAAGTTTACAGTGCTTGGCATGACCACCCAGAGTGATTGGTGGGGCTCAGAGGAGCCTCCCAAAATATCCACGGTCTTCCCTTCCAATCATCCCTTGCTGATTGGTAAAGTCGTTCTACCAGCTTCTTTTCCAGGTCCTGCTTAGGCAGACTCGCTTTATATGTGGGAAACTGGGCATGTTCATCCTTCAATCCTTTCTCCTCTGAACTGGATCTGGCAGGAGCTCTTTGATAATTCTGACATATAAACGGCACCTTCCCCTGGTTTCACTGCAGACCTACAATTTGTCACTGCAGCCCGGTGGTAAGTAATAGAATCATGGATACTGGGGTAAGCTCATCATGCTTGCAATGTCGTTTGTCCACAAATCCCAATTTTAGGTTTCATCTTTATAGTTTGGAGGAGTGTAATTTAGAAAAATGATGCGTTCCCCTTGGTTATCTAGACCCTTAGAAATCCTAGAGGCTAGAAACGCCAGGACCGAAACCAGGCAGCACCAACCTTCTGGCACGAGCTTAGCCTGATTCCAAGAAAAAGCGCCCACGAGCAAAAGCGCAACCTTTAAACTAATAACAGATGTCGCAGCTGTTGCAAGAAGCATTGTGTGTTCCCAGTACCCAAATTTCTAGATGAATTATGAAAAGGAATCCGTCTTTCATCTGCATGTTTGACAGCGTGTAGATGAAACATCCGTCTAAGACAGTAGGCACTAAGCAAATATATGGGGGGGGGGACGTCTGACTGGCTGACTTGCTGAAAGACTGGATTTTTCACGCGTGATCCAGATGTTTTGGCTTTATGGAGGCACCGGCAGAATCTGCCAAGCTGACGTGTGATCTTTGAGTGAAGGGTGATCCGTGAGCGCAGAGCATCACACCGGCAAGTGCGTACACAGCGCCGGGCTGTGTGAAATCGGCTCTCACCGGCTGCAGCCGTGGCGCGTGACAGACCCGCCCGTCCACTTCCAAGTGCTTCTGACAGACGAGCCCCTCTGTTCGCATCCATCTCATCGTGACACGTGCTGAAATTGTTAAGTTATTATTAGTCCTGATAATGGAGTCTTCACCAGGAAGGTGTTCATATTCGTGATGTCGTCACCGCAGGTTGTTCTGCTATTAAGGAGAAAACCTATCAGGTATAAATATTTATGCCTGGTTGGATGTCAGATTCTTTAATCAAGAATGGAATTGGTCTTAATTGAATCTTGGGCACAAATTTAGGCTCAGCCTCGATTGTGTTTTTCACTCCGTGTGACCAGGGCTTCCTCAGAATCACCCCAGGATCCTGGAAATGGGGTCCTCTGTTAGGCGACCGGGTAAGCTCCCTCTTAAGGGGTGCTGGAAACTTAGCAGCGCTGGGGTGCAACTGTTTTGCAGGAGACTGGGTGGGGCTTCGTAGGACCAGATAAAGGGAATGTCACCCGTCTAGAGCTGCCATTTTACAAAAAGAGCTTATTCCAAGCAGGCACAGGGCTGTAATCATCATAAAGACAGGGACCCTGTCCCGATGGCTGTTGTTCTTTTATTGTCCGTCTGCTGGTCCAAGGCAGACAAGATGCTGAACAAGATGGCCCAACAGCATGTGCAGGAAGACTAAATACACCGATGGGAAGAAGCTACGGTGGGGAAAATTCATGAAGCAGCAGCTTTGTGATATTAGCTTACATGCGCATCCTACATGTGAGCTCCCACGTACAGGGACAGCACCGCTGTGATATTAGCTACATTTTACGGATGTGGAAAGTGTGTTCCAGGTCCTGTGCTCCACAGTGATAAACAGATCAAAAAGACAGAGAGATAAAAAAGACACAGCCTGTGCCTTCAATTCACTCACAGTCCAGTGGAGTCTGGACAGAGGGGACAGAGGCTGGCGCAGGCCACGTGGGGTTCAGAAACTGGATTCTGAGAAAGAGAACTGAGACAGTACCTGTGACAGGTGACTGAGCCAGTGTTACGGGCAGAAGGAGCCACGGGGACGGGGGTCAAGCT